TTTTACCTTTAAAAACAGAAGGCACCTCGCCTTTCGGTGCGAATTGCCTCTGATATCTTTCAACAGAGGCGCTATAAATTCGATCACGATCTTTGTTTAAAAACAAGTCTTATGATCTTAGTAGAAGATGAATCCTTGCTGCAGCTTGTATTTAATAATTGCATTTTTTCTACCTTATAATTGCAGTTGGTTCACGCAACCGGAATTTTATTTTATTCTATTTTTTTCTGTTATGCCACGTACACTCTGATGAAGAAGTTTCATACTCTGATTTAAGTAAAGTCACGGTGTGTTCAGCGGAAATACGACGCAATGGTCCATGCATTGGGGCGACACCCAAATGGTTTTATAGCGGGGTTTATGCTCGCAGTATTCTACTCATAAACGGCACTTCTTTAGAAACATTAGGGATCATTGTGTTCATGTGCCAGAACCTTGTTCACCGCCTGTTTCAGAATTCGCGACGCACCTTCACAAGTACTCTAGCGGCTTCGGGTTATGCGCTTTATTGTATTTCGCCCTGTTATGTGATTCATACCTTGATTTTTTCCCGCTTTGTGCATTGGAGAAGGAGAGGTTCGATTTTAAAGAGCATGTAATGCAATGACCAGCAGCTTAAGGCATAGCACTTTCAAACGTATTATGCATAATAATGATAATACGAATGTAAGCTTATGCATGAAGTGATGAGAATATCGTACAGAGTTTAGCAGCATGCGTCACGGCAGTTTGCAGGCTTGACAATACAAGTAGTTCGAATGGAGTTTTTGTGACTCCTCGTGAAACGTCATCTAATTTTCATAATCGATTTTATTCTGACATAATTTACGTCTTATCATTCTCTACTCAGAACAAAGAGTAACATTATTGAAAACTGGAACTAATTTCCTTCAGAAATTATTTTAAACAGTTGTTTGTGGTCCTTCTGTAGAAGCTTCTAAACAGAAACTTATAAATAGGTGTACTATGAAGATATATTGTGTCAGTCCCTGATTACAATTCATCTATTATGGTTGGTAGTAGGAAGGTCTTCGATTGTACTTGGTCTTGGAATGCGGTCTCTTACTTTGGCCATTGTGCGTTCTCCTTGATGGCTGACAGAAAGAATACGTGTTTCGAAAGCATCACAATATATGACTTCCGCGATTGGCCGTTAACGGACCCATGAGTTCGCCGCCGTAGTCATGATATCTGTTGGTTGCCAGGGGATGAGTAGGATGACAGGCTGAATCGTTTATTTCCACGACCGTTTAGGCACTGACTAGTCATCCGATGCTTGTCATACTTACACCATACACCAGTAGCTTTGAAGTCTGATCAGTTACATAGGTGATATATTTCGATTAAGTTTATTATATTCACATGCCGTTATCATAACGGCTTAAGAGATTCCGTCTTTCAATTCTCTGGGAGCAGAGTTGCTGTGTTTTTTGAACAGAAGTGATTAGGTTGATGTTTAGAACTTGTTTGAAGCAACAATGCATTTTTGGACAATACATATCTCATTCAGAACAAAATTTCATGGCGCATTGCACTGTGCCCTTGCTACTAGTTGCCTGGGAGCCATTTCACAACATTCAAAAACATATTTTAACGAGAGCTGCAAGATTCCCATGTGACAAAGCAAGCAGCTGTTTTGACGCAAGTCATTCGACTACACTGACTCATAAGGTGCGACTAAGTGACAAAGACCATATGGCAAAACTTTTTGACGCGTGAAAGGTAGCTGTTACCTCTTTGCCTTAAATTCCTGCATTTTTCTAGACCAGTCTGCAAAATTAGCGTATTCATGAGAATGGGATACGATCAGTTTAGCATTAGGTTATTCCATTGTTGATGTGGTTAAAGAAGATAGGGAATTTCCATTTCCTACGCTACGGCTAATTAAACGGTGCAAGAAGATTTTGGCCAAGGATCTTATGGCACAAGGGCGATCCTTCAGTTCCTGCATGCTGCTAATCTAAATTTTCGAGTCAGCCGGCCAGATGTGTGAGAGCTCAGAAACGTTAATTTCAGCGCAGTGCAACTTTTCCATAAAATCTTAAGATAGCTATTATTGTATATCAACCTCATCGTCCGAATTTAGAGTTTACCAACAAAACGCTAATATTCCATATCGCGGATAAGTTGCTTCTAATCATCTAGGCGACCTTAAAAGTGACCACAGCTCCAACTGACCGACTGCATCCATTGCCCCATAGATAAATGTCCAATTCAAAAAAAGATGGGCAATATTAGTATAGAAATATGTACGTGTGGTTATGTGACCTTTCGTTCATAAGGAGTTTGAAGCGACTTCCCCTTATCCTTTCTAGGGTAGTTCAAGGTGCTCATGAGCGAAGCATCTCAATACGATGCCAATCGTTATCGTAGCTTGCATTAAATCAGCTGCATGAAATGTTTGGAGCCAAAATATCCGTGACTTGAAACATCATCCATTGCAATAAGACAAAACCGTAGTAAATTGCCACTTTAGTGGTTCTAGACACCAAAACAGAGAGATTATAATCATTGTCATAAGTAGCAACTTTTTCATCCTAAAGGCAAGCAAAAAAAACAACAGAATCGCTCATCTGAGTCGTTAAAGTCTTTAAGCAGCAAATTCTAGCTTTTGCTATTTATGATCATCAAAATCATTCTGGTATTATTGGTTTACTAAAAAAATGGTAATTTCCATTCGATACATCAGGTAAGAATAAGATCCACAAGGCACAAAGCGAGGAACAAGGGAACGTTGTGACTTCGCGGTTTCAATCGAAGAAGTGATAGTGGAATGAATGTTACTTTTACCGCCCGTATCACCCGTCACTTCTTTTGATTTGCATGGCCATTAGCACTGTCCATTTGGCACTGATGCCATAGGGTATCGTTTAAATGGGTCACGAATTCATGAGAATTTGGCACCTGCAGAGCATGGATACAAAATTTCATTTCATCAGCCACATCATCCTACCTAACGCATTGTAAAGTAGCACCTTACTTACTAATCAAACCATGGTATCATATTCTACGCTAATAGAGATCGTGACTCTTTGGTATGTTTCTGAACAGGCTTTGTTTCGCAGCGATTAGGTTTTGCCTGTATGCACTGTAAATACATTAGGTGCTAGCGCATTATGGAGCTGTGGCTGGCTTAAATGATCCCCAAGAATGCTATGAACAACGGGTCAACTTAAGACAGTATGTAACTGCAGAGAAGAGACAGAAGATTTTGTTAATGATAGACGGATATTCACTTTTATTTTGGGCTCTACGATCTTTATGACACCGGTAATATGCCGATTCGACGGTGTTGGGACACAAAACTGGGATTAATCCATAAAGTACTGTTTATTTGAATTGTCAGCATTTCGATCACAAAATACGTCTTCAAGGCAGAAAGCATATAGACTGATATCATTGCCATTGTTCTACGTACCTTGTTATAGGTCAGTCAGTCGAACACATCAAGGTGTTTTAATAATTGTAGAAATTTACAAATGACACTTCTGGATTTTCTCAGACAGAACACTGCAGGAAGCTGATTCTGTTCAGGTGTATCAACTTTTTCAACGGAAACCATTCATCGTCACCGTTAAAGTTGTAAATGCTTTAACGAGTTTAAAATCAGGGGTTGAGAGCATACGATCGAAACGCTTATTTTGGGTTTTAGCAATGCAGATTGCTGGAGCGTGTTACGGTCTTCTGTCCAACTTCCGCCCGTATGAATAAGTACTGCTACTGGGTCATGACGAGGCATAGCCTCCGTTGAGTTCTTGCATGTTTCGAAATTACTTAGCTACCTGGTGCTATGTCGTAGGAGGTTCAAAACTTGAGGCACGTCTATCCAAGGAGGCAATGGTGTTGTGCAAAATGGTTTGAAGCACCCTTAAAGAAGAAACGATGACATTTGAGAAGACGTCTATTGAATAATATGGCCACTTGACAGAAGTCGTTGACGTCAAGATACATACGTTTGGCACGCGTATAAACAAATTGTCAAAGACCGGCCATCGCTTACCGCATTCATTATGTGATCCTCCGCATGACGGCGATATGTCATAACCGGACAGGTTTTGTCACGTCGGTTCGGTGAAGCATAAGTGAGATGACGCATGTCATGCGGTTATTTGTTTACTTCATCTACGTGACGGAAACTACTTGACTTCTTGACAACATCGGATAAACAGCAACAGCGATTCAACGTCCAACGGTTCATGAAACATCAATCTGAATCTTCGTTTGCTGTTCAGCGTTTCTGCTCTGCTTCATTCAGCCGTGTAATTTGCCTGAAGATCAGATTACGGTAGCTTTCGCGTTAGGAACGAGGAAACACGAGCGTTTTGTCATGAGCATTTGTTACTTTCACTGATACTGAACGACACTACAGGACTTGTCTACTCGCATGCACGGTGTCCCAATTTTTCATACTCGCTTCTGATTAAAGTGAATGCTTTCATGCACTATCACAAGCACACACTGATGTGGAAAAAATTTTCGTTAAAGAACACATGCACTCTG